TGCGAAACATGCGTTCCTTTATCAGCAACTGATTAAGCCGGAAAACATACTTCCCTTTTACAAATTTTTTTTGGTGCAAAACATACTTTCCTTTTAGTAAGACAGAATTGGCAAAACACATACATTCCTTTTCCAAAATTTAAAGCGAAAAAAAAACATACGTTCTTTTAGATCTCACCCATAGAAATAACAAATTGGTTTTGTCGCCTTTGAGTGGTTTGAATTGGTAATTTAAATGTGTGAAATGAATAAATAATGATGCTGTTGTCTTTGGAATGCATAGTATAAAAGCCGTAGCTTAAGTCGAAAATCTATATTGTTTCAGTATAAATTCCTCAGAATGGATCCACTGAAAGTGTTTAAATCTCAGCTTTTTATCTTTAAAGCATCTGGTCTTTGGTCGGATAATCGAAACATCCAAAACCATTTGCATGTGATCCTTTTTTATTTTTTCATAATTGGTTTTACGATAACCATCTTCACAAGTATGTATTTCAGCGCGCTGTTTGACGAAAAAATGAAACAAGTTGTGGATCATTTACTCATTATAAATTCTACAGTTTTGGTAATATTGAAAGGGATTGTATTTTACTTGAATTATGCAAAGCATCTAAAAATGCTTGAATTAATTGAAAATATTGCCAAAGAGATTGATTTGCAATCACAAACTGAAGTGAAAATTATGAAAAATGTAAGCAGGATTCTTTCGATTGTTTTTCCATTACTTATTGATTAATTTCCATTAATTCGATTTTTTTTCTATGTGATACACCCGCAGGCAAGCAGGCTTGCTGATATTCTAACTCGTGGATTTGCAATTTGTTTTGGATTTGCTTGGATTGTTTTGGCGGTTCAAGCTCTACTCGGAACCAATAATAAACACATTTTTTGGTCATCAACAGCTTTTTATCCAGGCGAAATCAGTCAAAATGATGTAGTTTTTTGGATAGTTTTTGTTTTTCAAGCTGTAACTAATTTGGTTCTTGTAATCGTCACATTTGCCTTTGACACATATAGCACTTATATAATTATAATTCTAAGTGCCTACATTGATATATTATCGGCAAGATTAAAAACTTTGGGATCAGCAAAAATGAGAATTGAAGGCGCTTCGCCGTCTTCTGAAGAGAGATTTAACTGTGTCAGGATGATTGAATGTGTTAAAACATTTTACAATTGTTTGAGGTTTTTAAAAAACAACATTTGGCGATGAAGATTATTATAAGTAACATTTCTTCGATTTCAGTTTGGCTGACATGGCAGAAAATACTCTGTCAATTAGTTACTTATTACAGTTTAGCGTAAGTGGCATCATTTTGGGAATTTGTGGTCTTCAAATTTCAGTGGTATGCATTTGAAAGGCATCTTTCTCGTGTTTATTATGATACAAATAAGAGCCAATGTATATGTTTTTAGATAAGTTTATCGGAACTTGCAAGGTTTGCCTTCATTATCCTATTTTTCGTGTGTATGTTTATCGAAATCTACATACCGTGTTTCTTTGGCACCATTTTGCATTACAAAAGTGATGAACTAACTGCATCGATATTCCATTCGAATTGGATTGAACAAAATGCATATTTTAAACATCTGATGATAATTTTCACTCAAGGTACAATTCGACCAATTCGGATTTTTGCCGGTGGCTTATTTGAAGTGAATTTACCAACATTTTTAGCGGTAATTTGTTTTATTTCTTTTTAACTCTTTCAATATTTCTTCAATGTTTACAAAATTTTAATGCATTCTATATGTTGTAAAAGTTGAATTTCGGTGCAATTATCTTTTAAGTACGATGATTTTAATACGATCCCTTAGAATATGACATTAGTTTGATGGCATTAGTTATAAGTAAAATCGTGATTTCAAAATTCAGATAATGTATATATACCCCATGGCTGAACAGTTGAACACAAAATTTATGTGGCATTACTTATTATCCGTCCTTAAATATATCTAGTGAGTACAAAGTTCTAGCAGTTACATATCATGTTGATGTTATAATCATCATGCAGATAAGCATTTTTGCAGTTATCACCAGACAATATATTGAACTAACTGGTCAGTTGAGCTGAAAGTACGTTAGCTAGCTAAATGGACTAAAACAATAGAAGTTATTGTTATAATGAACAATCACTTCTATTAAAACAAGAAAAGTGATTCATCATTAAAACAATAACGTCTATTGTTTTAGCCCATTTAGCTGCTAACGTACTGTCAGCTCAACTGACCAGATAATTCAATATATTGTCTGGTTATCACGGTTCAAATATTCAAATAATAATGTCTTATTCGATTTTCTTCTTCTCGCATCATTTTTACTTTTCCGCACACCTAGTGTAGGGAAGGTATTGTATTAGGCCAAAAAATTAAAGTCATCCCAAAACATGTTTTCTATGCATATTTAATGTAGAAAACACGATTGGAGATGATTTTGGGGCATATTAATGTGCGTCGCTGTGTGTGATGTGTCCTGTGTCCTGTGGCGTGTTGCCAAAATTTGTTAACTCGATAAATCTTTTTCCAAAAACTCAATTCAAATTCTGACTTTGCAGGATGATTTGGGACTACTAGGAGACGTGCTGATTAGTTTTTGAGCAATATCTGTTGACCGGTGTAATTTTTTTGGGTCCGAATGGACACAATCCATACATTTTACTTTTTTGATCATTTTTCAACCATTTTGGTGACACGATGGTTTCGTGCTCAGACATGAAATTCAAAATCTGACTTTACGGGATGATTGGGCGTTACGAGGAATAGATCTGGTCAAATTTTCAACGACATTGATTGATCGATGTAAAACTTAGACTGTGAAGAGGCACTTATGAGAAAAATGCCTTAAAATGATATTCTTTCAATTTGAACGCTGAAAGACTGTGTAGTGGGGGTTTTTTGGCACGAGAAACCCGAATCTGATGTTAGTTTTAAGATGCAATCAATTTTTCACAGACTTTTCATACAAAAATCGAAAAAAAAATTCATTTTTGTATGAAAGACTTGCCTTTGTGGTACTGTAATGATGTGAAACTTTGAACAGGCTATTTTTTGGATTGAAATTTCTTTAGACTTAGTATGATTATTTATTTTGATAAGAAAATAATATTCACAAGTTTTCACGGTAATTTAAGTTACTGCAACCATACATAGACCATCATTTCTGTTTATTCCCAAAATTTCGGTTCCATGCGGAAAAGTCAGCTTGCGTACGTAAGCCTCTTTATTTCTATTGAAATTCTACTTTTATTTACCAATGTCACTTTGAATATTTGTAGAGTTGAAATTGAAATCACCTTATCTGAGTAACAGAAAAAGTATCTAAATCCATCTTAAACATTATCATTGTTCAATTTGTGGCAATGGGTTACTGTTACTAACGGTTTTTGTACAGATGTTCAAAACTTTCGATCTAAAGTTGTTGATAAGGAAGTTTTCCAAATCGCTAGTAATAAATTCTTTTCTTTCTCATTTAAAACTAGATTGTTCGGATGGCCTATTCAATGTTTGCTCTACTTCGAAATGTTGGACGCGTATAATTTCCCTCATATGTTGCCAACAACAATATTGTTATGAAGCATTATTCTACAAACAGATAGCTAAGCTACCATAATCATAAAAAAGAGCTAATAGCTGTAAAGATTAAAAATATCAAAAAACAAAAACACATTACTTTGTCAGAGCATTAATTAAATTTATTTAATTATTAATCGTTTGTTTGTGAACAATTATGTAATTTTATGAAAAAATCGTTATGATATGTTTCTTTTAATAAATAGATTTGTCCAAAATAGATCTTTTGCTTGGTAATTGTTGACGACTTTTAGAACTGCCTTTCATGGTGTGTCCTTCTGTTTAGCCATCTTTTATTCTTTGAAGTACGTAAATACAACGTGAACACTGTCGCTCTTCGTCAACCCAATACGTTCAGAAAGAATGTAAGTGATACGTATTTTAACGGTATTGTAGAATTTGACTTTATTTAATAAAGTCACAAATTGACTGATTGCATCCCAAGGTGGGCACCACTTATATATGGTTTTAAAAATAAATGCTGACGCGGGACATTCAAATAAAGAGGCGTAATTCATGCGAGGATCACAGTCTGTTTTGAAACATTTTGTACACAAAGTATATCAGACTGTTCATGAGTTCAATATTTAGGTAATGAATTCAATTGCTCAAACAGTACGATGCTTACAAAACGAAACAAAAATACGCAAAACGAAAGTAATAACCATTTTCGGGCCAAAAAATTCATCCAGCGAGTTTAAATTACAATTATTATTCGAATGGTGAACATGCCAATATGTTAAGTATACTTCATAACATTCAGCGTGTATCATTTACTATAATAATTCATTCAATTACTATCCAAAACGATAGCCAAACAATTTAAATTGCACAAAGTATGTTATAAAAACTGAACTATTTCCTTATTGTTGATTTGATTTAAGTAGTTTTGCCGCAGTTGCAACACATCGTTGTAAATGACAGACAATTCGTTAAAAATGAATCAGAGAAAATTGAGTAGACCTTTAAAATTCATTCATTACAAAAAAATACTTGAAGAATTATATGATAAGGAAAATAAACACCGTCACAGCCAAGAGTTAGTAAACAAGATTTAATTTAATGCAAAACAACAATAATAAATTGAACAAGCTATAATGTGCAATCAAAAATACACCTTCATTTTTTATACAAACCGGGAGAATGATAAGAAAGATTGCATCTTCCGTCGATAAGTGCAAAAAATAAAACCAAACACTGTCGCATATATTCAACACGATAATTAAGAATCTATATGAAAAATAGAACTTATCATCTCCGTAAATATTTCCAAGCGAATGGAATCCGACCGGTTGATTACGTATGTTGCGATTAAATTTAATCAAAATGCTAACTTCGTTCACTGATACGAATTAATTCGAACACATAGCAAATGGTATATATTTAGTTGTTCATTAAGAGAAAACCAGTAGAGTTGTCGTGACATCGAAAGGAGTCGTTTCAAGTCAGATTGTTTTTTTTTTGTGTTAATTGAAAAAGAGAAGATTGGAACTTTGTCAAAATGTCGTTGAAAAAAGAAAAGATTGGAATTTTTGGCAGTGGTTTGATTGGAGGAAGTTGGGCAATGATATTTGCAAGTGTTGGCTATCAAGTTCAAATTTACGACATTATTCCAGAGCAAATTGAAAAAGCACTCAAGCATATTGCGGCTGAACTAAAGCGTTTGGAAAAGGAAAATTTATTGCGTGGCACTTTGACAGCAGATCAACAAATAAAATGTATAAGTGGCACAACTGATATAAATGAATTAGTTAAAAATGCCGTTTACATCCAAGAATGTGTTCCCGAAAATATTGAGCTCAAACGAAAAATTTACGCTCAATTGGATGCCATTCTTGAGGATCAAACAATACTTGCCAGTTCGACGAGCACATTTTTGCCATCGGTATTGAGTGAGAATTTGAAACACAAGAGCCAAGTGGTAGTCGCTCATCCGGTCAATCCACCCTATTATGTGCCGTTGATTGAAGTTGTGCCAGCTCCTTGGACAAAACCGGAGATTGCACAGAAAACTAAAGAATTGATGTTGGACGTTGGCCAAAAACCAGTTCTATTCACCCGTGAAATCGAAGGCTTTGCTGTGAATCGAGTACAGTGAGTACATTTAACATTTGTTCATGATGACACACACATTCTGATTTGTTTGTTTTTGTACATACCTCCAATTTTTTTGGAATTTTTTCGAGATAAGATATGATTATAAAACTATTTGGTATTTGCTACTGATGAAATAAATCATTTTAGATATGCTATTTTAAACGAAGTTTGGCGTTTGGTTGCCAGTGGTGTTCTGAGCGTTCGTGACATTGACAGTGTTATGTCAGATGGATTGGGTATGCGATATGCCTTCTTGGGACCACTTGAAACCACTCATCTGAATGCTGAAGGATTTACAGATTATTGCGAACGATACAGCAAAACAATTTTTGCCGTAAGTTAAGAAACTCAAATTTACTTTTATGTTCTTTTGGAAGTAGATTAATGAAAATATTTTAAATACATTGCAGGTGAGTCAGACATTTGGGGAGACACCAAAAATGGAAGGACCAACTGTTACTGAAATTGCAAAACAATTAGAGGAAATGTGCTCATTGGATAAACTTGCTGAGAGACGTGAATGGCGTGACAATTGCCTAACACAACTCAGTCAACTCAAAAAGAAGCTTTGAAATGTTGCAGGCTGTGTGTTTTAAATTTAAATAAATATTCGATTAGATAACATAACATGTTGTTTTTGTTTACGTCATTTGTAGAAAATAAGAATTATACCACTGAAGAGGACAACAAAGTAATTCGACGTCAATACAGAATAATGAAATCAAATTGTAATAAACCAAATGCTACGGGTTGACCTCGATAGATAATACACTTTACAAGTCTCTCAATAATATGGATGTGGAAACTTTTAATTTATTTATATCATCACTATTCGTGAACGCACAGCTCAATTTCATTTTATAGCTATGTTGAACTAACACTTCCTATTAATGAAATGATAATATATGTGAGAAAAGGCACAGCAATAAAAAATCGAATAAGCGATTAAACTATAAAATTGTAAATTGATTTTGGATTTTAAATTCATCACTGACTCACTCCCTTGCACTTTTCATCAATTTCGATTTAATTTCTATTCTCTTGGGGTACATGGTTAACAATAAATCCACAAATATTTGATATCACTTCTATTTTTACTCGATTATCGATTTTATTTGAATGATAACAATGTATTTTATTTTCCAATTCGTATTCGGAAATTTATTTCTTTGTTTTACAAAGTTATAGAATATAGACTAATAAAGCCAGAAAAGAATTTACATTTTTTTTTTAAATTGCCAATTAGATTGGTTTTTATATTTTTGATTATCTCAAGAGCGAGGGTACCATTTCTTCTTCTTGGTTATCTATTTTGGTATTGAATCCGACAATATTGTTTATTTAAGATTGAGACGATCAGCCAATGAGCAAGAGAGTCCCGTGTTGTCTGGTTCAACATTCAGCTCGGTGACGACACCATTTTCAACAACCATGGAGTACCGTTTCGAACGGAGACCACCAAGTGGTGGCAAATCAACGCTCAAATCGACCGCTTTTGTGAATACAGCATTTGGATCGGCCAACATACGAACCTTACCGGCTGCAAATAATTGAAATCGTTATGAATTTTATTATTGATGGAAATGATTAACGATAGAAGATTAAAATTGAATAAATAATGAAAATAATTCAATACTCACCGGCATTTTGGTCTTTGCCCCAAGCTGACATTACAAATGCATCGTTCACCGACACACACACAATTTCGTCGACACCACTCGATTTAATCGAATCGGCTTTCTGTACATATCCCGGCAAGTGAGTCTGATAAAATAAATATTCAAAATGAATGTCAATGACAAAAAGAGAAAAAAAAAATGAATAATAAACTGAAAATATCAAGAGACAAACAAGTCAAAGATAGGGCATAGTATTTCATGTGGTAAATATTTTTAGGTTATCTATTCAATTATAAAGCATTTTGTCAAACGAAAAAAAAAAACATACAAATTACGCATAAACAATAAGTATGGGTATTGAATGTAACACAAGAAAAAAACCAAAACATTCTACTCACCTTCGAGCAACCGGGGGTGAAAGCGCCGGGAACAGCCAACAAAACAACCTTTTTATTGGCGCATAAATCAGCAATGTTAACTTTGTTTGCTGGAGAGTCTTCAAATAAATCAACACTTGGGATCTTGTCGCCAACCTAGAAAATGTCAAATAATTTGTACACTCTTATCAATTAATAGACGGGAAAAAAAAACAGAAACATGTATTTAATCCAACGAATTACGTAATTTAATTCGATGTTTCAATGTCAAAAAGTCTGGACATTTTCGAATGATGAGAAAAAAAAACGATTTTGAAATGGCAAAAAATAATTCTTTTTAACATCATAATTTCATTCGACGTAATAAATTCGACGCAAAAACGAATGATTTTAACAAAAGGCAGAAAAATCAAATTGAAAATACTTACTTTAATTTGTGCCATTTTGGTTGTTGCAATAAATCGTCGATTAATTTGTGATGAATGCAATGCAATTAGTTGTGTGGATTTTTTCAGCACGTTGTTGCTAGTACGAATGGCGAACATGGACAATGGAAACATTTCTCGACACCACTTTTTTTTATACAATTGGTTTTGTTATAACAAGTAAGAAGAAGTTGGTTTTGTGGCTGTGTAGTTTTTGTATATCAACTCTGTGTTTTTTTTCTGTTCTTCTGATGGTCGTGTATTACTCTGTCCTGTTTGTTCGTGCACTTACAAATGCGACATGGCAGATCTCAAACTTCATATGCGTATGTGTGTGTATATATGTGTAGTTGTATTTTGACAGTCAGTTTATTTTTTGACTGTATACCTCGTTCGTTCGCGCTCATTCGAACGAATGCCAAGACAATAACAACATAGAGAGTGTGTGAAACAACACATACAGCGACGTATCGATTTAAAGTTTTGTTGTTGATATGATGGCTGGATAAAAGTGCCGAGCGAAATAGTTAAATACATCTATGGCTTGGAAATGAAAGAGAACAATTTTTGTAACTGAATTATACAAATAACATGTACATATTCAATACTGAGTTGTTGTACAAATTTAGTTTGGAAAATGATATTCAAATGACATCTCTGCTGCTTTTCTATTCATTTATACATTTTTTTTTCTTTCTTTATTAAATGCATTATGTTTCATTAATTTCATATGTTGTCTATAAAAACGGGCTCTATTCAATACAATTTTCTTAAGGAAATAACTGGAAAATATTGTTGTTTGAATGTGGAGTCATCATGCTATAATTCCTTTGGTGTTAAAATGAGAAGGCTGAATGGATCAACTTCCAAAACCGGTTGCATGTCCCAAGATTTTTCGCGGAATTTGTCTCGTGCCAAAGTCCATGGGAAATTCTGAAAACAATTCATAAAAATGTTTCAAAAAAAATGCCAATTTTTTTTCTAAATATTTAGTACATACGTCCACTTTCGAGTTTTCTTTGGTGACAATGTTAACAAATGACTTTTCGGTGGTTTCTAATTGGATAAAAAAACCACATGTTTCCCTATTCAAAGGAGACAGATTCTTTGCCGTTTGTTCAAGTTGCATGAGACCTTGACGGAGATCCTCTTCAAATTTTAGAATATATAATTCAATGTCCGGTTTTTTGCTATGCTCATTTTCGCTATGTTCAACGCGAAAAGTGTATCGCTCTAAAATTTCTTCATTGTCCGGTGTGTCAAACGTTTGCGATTCACGTTTATAAATGATCAATTCCACCTGGAATAGTTTGTTGATTGCTTTCAATTCTTGTGCGGTCTTCAATGCATTCAATAAATACTTGTTCAATGATGGAAATATGGAAATGTATGCGGTTGTATTGTAAATACGACGCCTGCGAAAAATTGCAGATGGATACACTTCACGTAGATACAAAATCGAATTTATGTACACTTCCAACATTTCCAAGAACAAATCGCTCTCCATTTTAGTAGTATCTTTAAAAAAATAAGAGCAATTTAATATTTTTATCTTAGAAAATACAAAGACAACAACTCTTACCCATAGCATTCGGTCGATTGGGCATTTTGGGTTTGATTTACTTATTTTTCCGGCTCACACAAACAAAAGAAAAGAAGAAAAAAAACATGCAATGTCGTTTCTGAAGAATCGCGCGGTTTAATTTGAAGAAGTCATTGTTTATATGTGAACTGTCAAACGAAATGTCAAATTCTATTTGTACAGGAGAAACGTCAAAACGTAAACAAAATATCGCAGTTTTCTTTTTGTTGAGAATACCAATTTGCTTGAAGAAGAGAGAATTTGATTTTTTGAAACAAAAACTTTCCGGGAAAAAATCATGGCATCAAGCTACTATTTTGCCATTGTTGGACATCATGACAATCCAATTTTTGAAACTGAATTCATTAGCAGCAAAGAGCCAAAGGTACTGAATCATTTGTCAATTGATTTTTCTTCATGTATTTTGAGATTTTTTTTTTTCCACTATTTTTACCAATTTTCCACGCACAGAAAGAAGATCATCGTCACTTGAATCAGTTTATCGCCCATGCAGCACTCGATTTGGTTGATGAGGTGATTTGGTTTTTATTGATTTGTGTTTATTTATTTGGTTTTTTTGATTAATGTTTTTACTACAGAACAAAATGGAAAATACTTATCAACTAACCGACAATATATAATCTTGTTTTCTTTTTTTCCATAACTATTCTACTAGCACAAATGGAAGACGAATAACATGTATTTGAAATCGATTGATAAGTTCAATCAATGGTTTGTGTCTGCATTCGTAACAGCAAGTCAAATTCGTTTCATTGTTGTGCACGACAATCGAAACGACGAAGGAATCAAAAACTTTTTCAATGATGTCTACGAAGTTTATCTGAAACATTCATTAAATCCGTTCTACACACATAATACGGCGATCAAGTCACAGCAATTTGAGCGCAAGGTTCAAACTTATGGCAAAAAATACTTGATATCATGAAGTTAAATTATCGTTGTGTATTGATATTATATGAAATTCTCTATTGAAAAGAATTTTGTTAAAAAATTTCCATTAAAACTATAAGAAATAAAATGAAAATTACGGAAAAAAGACGAATCGTTTGTTGAGTATAGTATTGCGGATGAAATTATTGCGGTGGTAATTGAAGAGTGAAAGCGTTTCCTCTTAAATTGTGCAGTGCTGTTGGAATGGGTGCCGTTGTGTGCCATTCGTACCAATATTTCTGTTTGTCAGTTTCGTTATGCAGCCAAAACACAGCCTTCAATCGCTCTTGAACGTTAAGCGTTTGTGGGGTCTTCAATGGGAAATACGCCATCGGAACGCAGTTTTTGTTGTTTGCATTAAGCCATGATTGATTATTCAATGTTATATCTTTGTACAGCAACGCTTGAAAATAACTTCCAAATCCAGTCACCACACAATCTCGTTCGATCATAAATTCCAAGCGTTTCATACGTGTATCACTTGAAATGCGAATGCTTCGTTTATCAGTGCGAAAACATCGATATTTGAATGAAAAAAGAACTTGGCTATTTGAACATTCATACAAATTTCGTGTATACAGTGGACTCATTGTTTGTGCACGTTTTGAATAGTTTTCGAAACCATTTTGCATGATTTCCATTGAACCCTCCTGTAGAAAAGTATACGTTGACGTCGATGTAATCGGCACCTGAAATAAAATAGCAATATCTTTATAGTCCATTTTATGATGTGTGCATTTCTAACAGCGTACAATTGTCAGTGTTGATTGATATGGTATCATAATGGCACCGGGACGAATGTATTCACATACTCGATCGAAATTGAATTGTAACCATTGGCTTTCATAAATCGATTCGAATGTAATTGATGCAACGATATCCATTGTCTTGTAGTATTCTTCGAGTTTCAAATCGTTTAAAACTGTTACGCGTGTAACTACGAATAAAAATGACAAAATATTTCAATAAATATTTGTTCCGAAATCATTTTGTTAAACAATGTCGAATTTAGCTACCCGTTTCCTTACTTCTGTCGGCATACAAGTGTTCGATGGCTTCATTGATTAAGAGTTGTGAACATGGATTCTCTTCGAAAATGAACACCTCCACTGCATCCGAATCATTGAACTTTGTCATAATGTAATTCAGTAAATTCCATCCATTTGAACCAGAAATTAGCACACGTATCTAGAAAATCCAATCGAATCGGTGTCAATCATTTTGAAAGAAGAAGGTAAATGTTTATAGAGAGGCAAACCTTATCGCTTAACTGTAAACGATCCTCAATTGCAAGTTGTATAGCTTTGGCATAAAAATTCAGTAATCTTTCTTGGTATTTGGTGCAGTTGTTCAAAGTGTCAGCTGTTGTAAATGGCAATTTCAATCCGCTTCGATCCAATTTGTTGCATCTGAATATAAATGATGAAATAAGTTAAATGCAATGGTCATATTTGTTTTTTGAATAATAGATTGTGATCTTCAACAAAACTCACTGATGTGGCATTTCTTTGCAATATTTTGAAAGAATATTACGTAAACACTTTGGATAAGCGTCAATATAAGGATCTTCGACAGTACAACGAACCGCAAAATTGGCACCAGTTCGAATCCAAAATTCTTGACAAACTTGGCTGTAACATTCTTTCAAGCTGATCTGGTCGTTGTTATTCAATCTTTCAAATGCCATCGCTGGTATGATAATCATTTCGACTGGTTCACCAAACCATCGTCTTATCTCAAAATCGTTTGGCAATACTGCGGTCAATTGGAGCGCGACCTATAAGTGAACATTTATAGATATTCTATTAGGGACTTAGGGACTATCTAATATTGCCAACCAAGAACATGTCATTTCGAGAGAAAAAACTATGTTCAATCGAGTAACCATTGGATTATTGTACGAATGTTCATGATGGTATCAAACACGATTGTGATGAATTCGATACTTAAAAACAATCGAATACACTCTGTTGATGTCAAATGTTACCTTAATGTGTCCACTAAATTCGGTGCTCAATCGAAATCGGTTCCATCGTTTCCATACCACAGCAGTGGCTGATGACTTTAACTCAACCATATTGACACCACCTTGATTTTGACTGTACTTTTGTGTGAAATAAGATGTGTCAATGATTGGGATTTCGGTCAGTACACAACCGGCACGATCAAATTTTTCCAACAATTGTCGCGCCATATTGAATGATTCGTCATTGTTCAAGGTCACAATGATGCAGGCGATTGAATCCAGATGCTTGGACCACGTTATTTCCTCTTTAAACATTCGTATAGCTGCATTTCGAACACCTTTATTGTGTGAATCACAGTCGCCGATTTCGCTAACTTTTAGTATGGTTTGACGCCATTCTTCAATGCTCAATAATAAATCTGATCGAGTCAATACATCGTTTTTACTTTCATCTTTAATAGCATTAATACGATGAGCAAGTTGTGGACTTTTTAAACGAGTAACAATTCGATTGTACGATGATTTTCGACCGGTTTCAATTGCTTTTTTAATGTCCGGCACATTGTTGTGATAAAGACAAATCAATGGTAATTTTTGCGACATCTTTAATGTATCTGGATCTGGCACATTACTCACTGAAAAAATGTGTTGCGACGCGCCAATTTGTATGTTTGACAGGAATGTATTTGAAATGGTTGTGAATTACCGTTATTGGTTTCTTGCGCGTCCGAATTTTGGTCAAGTTTAAGTTGTCACGTCAAACACAATGCTAAAACTAACTAACGTCAAACAAATCTGACATTTGAAAGGATTCGGTTAGGACTTTGATAGAAATCATACCAAAAGCAAAATAATTGTTAAAAAAAATATAATTTTATTAAAACATTTTGCATACAATAATAAATTTATGATTGGAGAGTCTTTCGTAAATATCAATGCTTGAATATCTAATTTTTGAAATCTTGATATTAGTTGAAAGAGCTGTTGTCATTGAATTTAATTTGGCGTTATTTTTAACTGTCGCATTTTACAAAATATAGAAATGGCCATAAATTTATTTTCTGTTCGATATTTTAAACAATTTTTGGGATCATTCAAACTACTTTTTTGTGCCTTTGAAATAAAAAAATCACATTTTTATTAAAACCATTTTTAATATCAATAAAATACGTAATGCATTTTTTGTTTAGAATTTTTTCTTTCAATAAAATTGATGATTTATGATTTTAACATTCGCTTCGCTTCAAATACTGTTTCTAAATAACATTCTTATTGACTTGTGTAATTTACATACGACAGTAGTAGGAAAAGGGGGTTTCGTGGACAACTCTTGCGTCAACCATGCGGTTGACGCAAGGTTCCTTGCGTCATCCATGCGGTAGCAGTGGAAGCGCGTGCGTCAGCCAGAGAGCGAAGCTGTATGACACATTCCCTC